AGGGAAGAGAGAGGGAGAGAAAGGAGGAGGGGGAGGGGGAGGAGGAGAGGGAGGGAGAGAGGGATGGAGAGAAAGAGGGAGGGGGTGAGGGAGGGGGAAGGGCAGAGGGAGGGAGGGATGGAGAGAAAGAGGGAGGGGGAGGAGGAGAGGGAAGGAAACGGGATGGAAAAAAAGAGGGAGGGGAAGGGGGAGGGGGAGGGAAGAGGGAGGGAGAGAAAGAGGGAGGGGGAGGGAAGAGGGAAGGAGACAAAGGAGGAGGGGGAGGGGGAGGAGGAAAGGGAGGGAGAGAGGGACGGGGAGAAAGAGGGAGGGGGTCGCGCAGGGAGCACTGCTTAAGCACTTGCTGTATACGCTGAGGCCTGACCAGAAGGTCCCCACGGGCCTGAAGCCTAAGTAGCCTGGGGTGTAAACTGAGGCCCGAGGCGAGGCCAGGCCCTTTGAGGGGCGTCTTACTTTATAGGGGGATTGGCGATAGTCTCCCAAAGCGTTGGAAGAAAACCTGGGGCTGAAGGGAGGAGCGAGTGTGTGGGAAACTGAGGCAGGGGCTGGCTCACCCGAGGTCAGAAGCACACGCGCGCAGAGCTCGACGCCCTACTTCTCACCACTTAGGAAAGAAAATCTTCGATCGCGACTCCGCCCCCTCGCTCCTGGAGAGCGACTCCATTGGCTCTCACGCCCGCCCGTCTCCTCAGTCCCTCCCCCTGCGCGCTCGGAGACCTGCGGGCCGAGCCTTGGGGCCGGGCTTTGGGGGCAGAACTGAGCCAGAAGGCAGGGCGCATGCGCCTGGTGCCTCCAGGCCTCCACTGGAAAACTACACTTCCCAAAGGTCCCTGCGCGGCACCGGCTTCGTCCACCAGGGCGAAGGAGGAGGACGCGGGGGAGGGAGGCCGGCCCTGAGAAGAGCAGGGATTTTATTCGGTCATTTATTAGTAAATTACTCACTACTGCATAGCGATCATAATAATAAAAAATGAGTGGTAACTTTGTCATTAGCCATTTCATGGGTTGGCATGATTTCGGCAGCGCCCCCTCCAAGCTATTTCCCTTACTCCCACTGGTCTAGGCCGCCCTCCTCACCACCCCAGGGCAGCAGCCAATCACAATAAGGTTCCTCTGTGACGTCACTGCTTTCATCCAATAGTCAAAAGCACTTTATTCCTACATTAACTGAGGCCCGTGGCTATGCTTGCTACCTGTGTGGCTCCCGGCGGTCACTTAACTTCTGTTTGCCTCAGTTTCCTCATCTGTTCCGGGTTCTTTTAAGGCTTACATGAGATCACACTGGTAAAGCGCTTAGAACAGTGCCTGGCACACAGTAGGTGCCGTATACCTGTTAGCTCTTATTATTAGTTATTAAGACAAAAAAGAGAGGGGCAGCTAGGTGATGTTAAAAGCCACGGGGGCAGCTAGGGGGCGCAGTGGATAGAGCAGCCGCCCTGGAGTCAGGAGAACCTGAGTTCAAATGCGGCCTCGCACACTTGATACTTACTAGCTGTGAGACCCTGGGCAAGTCACTTAACCCCATTGCCTAGCCAAAAACAAACAAACAAAAAACAAAAACAAAAAACAAAAACAAAAAACAAAAATGCTTGGTTATGGCAGAATAATTCCTCCCTGGTGTAGCCAGCCCGACTAAAACAAGCGCTTCCTTCCCTGTGCTGTTTGCGGATGCTCCCTGACTTTCTAGAAGACTGACTTCTGCTGCCCACAAGAGTGGGCTCTGAATTCAAACAGGATTCAAAGTTCTGTGCTCTGTTTTACCCACAAGACTGCCAGGGAAAAAATTTTAATTCACTTTTTTATTATTCTAAATCTAAGCATAGGTTTTGTGTTTAGAAAGAGGGAAAAGTAAAAACTCAGAAAAAGGTGAATTTTTAAAGTTTATTAAAAATGTCAACATAGCAACATGTCAACGGGCTGATCGGTTGAGATCAGCCAGAGTTTCAAGAAGGAGCCAGTTTTTATTGATAACTTTCATAATGAGCCAAAGACATTTCAGATAGGTCCAGGTCAGCAAAAGGGGATTGGTCATTGCCTCTCAGTTCCTCCCCAATTTCCTAGCTGCAGACTGGGTGACACCTTCCCCACACTGATTGACAAACAGGTCTGGGAATGATGTGTCACTGAGCCAGCATAACTTTCTTTCTTTCTTTTTTCTTTTTCGTGGCAATAGAGTTAAGTGACTTGTCCAGGGTCACACAGCTAGTAAGTGTCTGAGGCCAGATTTGAACTCAGGTCCTCTTGACTCCAGGGCTTTATCCACTGTGCCACCTAGCTGCTCCCATAACTTTTAACAGGTATATGAAGCCTCCCTATGGGACTTCATATAAACTATGACTGGTCATAACTCTTCTGAGATTCATCCTACGATTCTTCCGCTGGAAACAATGAAGATTTCAAGAGATAAAGGCAGCATCTCGGATTGATACAGAGAAAACAAGCCAGAAGTTCAACCTTTCTGTCTAAATATTAGAATTTTCCCTAAATTCTGGGGGCTTTGAGCGATGTAGAATTATAGTGATTTTTTTTTTCTTTGATGCATACTTTTTGATAAATTTGACCTGGGTTAGGTTTTTTCCTGTCCTTTCGCTAAAGCCAAGATCTAGGCATCCAGGGTGGTCTGGTAAGAGGGGAAGGGTATATAAATGCTCCCTACCACCAATGTTTTCTCTTCAGGGTGCCTGGCACATAGGAAGTATTTATAAAATGCTTGTTGGCCTTCCTTTGCCTTGCTGCAAGCATGTCCAGAAGAGAGAGAGGGAGGGGAATAGCTCTACCCATAGGTTCAGAAGGGATAGCACAACCCAAAGGTCACGGAAATCCAAAGACTGAAGGTTCACCTCTTTCTGTCGTCATGCATACTGCCTCAAGAAAAGACTTGGTAGGAGCTAGACATGGCAAGCACCACGTGAACAAGAAAAAGAAAGAAAGAAAGAAAGGAAGAAAAAGAAAGAAAGAAAGAGAAAAAAAGAAAAAGCGAAAGAAAGAAAAAAGAAAGAAAGAAAGAAAAGAAAGAAAGAAAGAAAGAGAGAGAGAGATTCAATTTGAACAGCCAACAAAAGACTCACCCAATGTGGGAATTATCTCAGAATCCTCCAAGTAGGAGGGACAGTCAGGCACTGACTTGTCAGCCAGAGGACAGAATTAATAAACAGCAAAATGAAGACTGATGAGAAAAAGACCATCATCAGACCAAAATCAATTCTTCCTGATCCATTGAGACCCGGGACTGAGCGTGAAAAAACGGGTGCTGGGCAGCAGAAATGACTGCAGCCCTGACGGGGAGTGACTTTACGCCGGAGTTTAACCAACGCAAATCAATTACCCTGCCGATGATGTCAAGGAGGGCAGAAGGACCAAGAAAACCCTTGCATTTCTCCCCCAGCTAGGAGAGATGCCGCTGACTCAGAGCCGACACTCACCGGTGAAATCCTGTCAGGTGAATGATCGGGAAACGTACAGGCTCGCCAAGCAGAAAAGCGAACTGGGCAAGACAGCCTGCCAAGAGGCTCCCACTGTGGCTCTCTGAGGGCCTGGGACAGAGGGGAAGGTGGCTGGGGAGCGAGAGATGCAGAAATAGAGGAACAGAGAAAAGTATCAACGAGACCATTTCTGAGTGACAGGAGAGCCGAGGAAGCTCAGAGGGGCCGGGAAGGCAGGGTGGTCTGGGCACTGGTCTGGGCAAAGTTGTGGAGGGGCCCGGGGCGGACTGGAGCCCTTTCCATGGAGGGGGCACGTGCTGCGCCCTCTTCTGATGCGATCAGAGGCTCCTGCGACGGGGGTGGCAGCTGGGTCAGGACTGTCGCCTGAACCCTCAATGGGTTACATGAAAGGAGGAGAGGTCTTCTCGGATGAGACCATCCATGCCAGGGCTCTCTCTGTCTTGGACTTCCAGCTGAGGGGAGGGGACTGCCCTCCCTCTCTTGCCTCTGGTATCAATGACATCTGCTTTGCTGTCTGGTGGCAAGCCTGCCCTGGACTCAGAAACCCTGGTGTGTTTTGCGGCTCTCCCTGAGTGCAGGGGACCAGGGGCAGTCAGCCTCTTCCAGCAGCGGTGGCTGGTGCACCTCTGGAGGTGGTCGGTGGGTGCCGGCCGCCTCGCTCACTCCTTGCAGCCCCACCCCTTGCTGGCTTGCTCACTATCCAATCATTTTTGTTTTGTTTGCTTTTGTTTTTTGTTTTAGGCAATTGGGGTTAAGCGACTTGCCCAGGTCACACAGCTGGTAAGTGTTCAGTGTTTCGTCTGAGGCTGGATTTGAACTCAGGTCCTCCTGACTTCAGGGCCGGTGCTCTATCCTCTGCACCACCCAGGTGCCCCTTATCCAGTCATTTTTGACACAAGCTCCCCAATTCCTACCATGGAGGGAAACAGTGGGCCCACTACAGGAACCGCTGGTCACACATGAGGCCAGAGCCCACATCTCTCCAGAAGAGGTTTGAGCACATGCCGAGCTATGTGGGAAATGTAGTCTCACCACCGCCACTGAGTGGAAGATACACTCTAAAATAAAATCACAGAAGGTCACAGGCCCACATGCAATCCTCATTTCTCATCTTCTTTGTGCATCAAAATATTTTTGTTTGTTACCTTCCTAATGAAATGATCATTAATATTTTAAAATGATATTCAACTAAGGAAAGGCATCCCAAGGGTATTTAAGAATAAAAATAGAAAGATAACAACAGAAGAAAAAAAATGGAACCCATCTGTAATGATTTTATTATAGCAGATCATTTTCTCCTGATTAAGGACAGCTGAGTTACCATCCTAAGATGCTAACATCACCTGGATGTGTGTTCAGAAGAGGCGGAGATGTCCCTGAAGGGATGGAGCTTGCACAGAAGAACTCTGTGCTGAGCCAACACAAGTGGGAGGGGATTGGGGAAATGCTGAGAGCAGCACTTTTCATGGTCGCAAAGAACTGGAAACAGTGGTGGTGGGGGTCCATGAATGTCATGAATATGACTGTGCCTTAATAAAAATGACAAATAGGATGAACAGAGAGAATCCTGCCAAAGCAGAGCCAAGAAAACAATACACAAAATGACCCAACAATGTAAACTTAAAAAAACAACCTCACACACCCGAGAGCGAGCATTGCGAAAGTAGAGAGAATTAAGCATGGCTCAAAAGAAGAAATAACAGCTAACACTTACATAGCACCTACTTTGTGCCAGCACTGTGCTAAGTGCTTTACAAATATCTCATTTGATCCTCACAACAACTCGGGGAGGTAGGTGCTGTTATTAGCCTCACTTTACAGGTGAGGAAACTGAGGCAAACAGGGGTTAAGTGACATGCCCAGAAGTCACTTGGCTAGTAAGTGTCTGAAGCCAGATTTGAATTCAGGTTTTGAATTCTGCCTCCAGATCCAGGTCTCTATACTCTGTGCCACCTAGCTGCCCCACGTATGATATGAGAAAACATTTCCCCCTGCTCCTTTGCAGAAGTGGGGGGGTCCATAGTTGTAGAACATTGAACACAACATTAGATATTTTGATGTATTAATGGGTTTTGATGATTTTTCTCTTATTCCTCTTTTTTTTTTTAAAAAAACTGTAAGGAATGGCTCTCTAGGAAGATAAAAGAGGAAGACAAAAACGAGGGAATTTAGATGACATAAAAACAAAAGATATCAATGAAATTATTATTTAATA